ATGTATATTTTTACTTGGCTTTAATGGTTCTTAAGGGGCCACGGTGGCTCAGAGGTTAAGACACTGAGCTGCAGGCTGGAAGGTCTGTAGTTTGGCAGTTTAAGACCCTAGTGCTGCATGATGGAGTGAGCTTCCATCTCTGACCCCAGCTCCTGCCAACCTAACTGTTCGAAAGCAAGAAATTGCAAGTAGATAAATAAGTACTGCTTTGGTGGGAAGGTAACAGTGTTCTGTGCACCTTGGTGTTTAGTCATGCTGGCCACATGACCATGGAAACGTCTTTGGACAGCGCTGGCTCTTCGGCTTGGAAATGGAGATGAACACTGCCCCCTAGAGTCGAATTCAACTGACTTTCGAGCAAGGGAAATCTTTACCTTTACTAATGGTTCTTAAGATGTGGGTCTTTTATTATGTAAGTTTTTAATCTGCTAACCAGCTGGGTTGCCCTGATGAGGTCAGAAAGGTAGGGTATAAATTCTGTAAATAAATACATGAAGGAGAGAAGAACTGTGTATACAGTTCTGAGCTCCTTGGAGAAAGGATGGGATAAAATATAAAAAGACAGATGGCCAATGGGATAATAAGGATGCACACTTTTCTCTAATATAGCGAAGAAAGAATTCAAAGCTCTTTTTGAATCAACACCTGTAATGATATTACTATTTTGAGGGCAGAAATGCTGTCATGGAAATCACTTGAAACTCACTGCCACCCCCTTAAAAATGTTAAAATTTTTATAGAGAACTGGTTTCTTCCAGTTGAAGAAAAAGCCTTCTCAGTATTCAACAAAACCTCATGGGTCATCACTGCAAGATTCTGAATGAATGAGCCATGGTGCTGTGATACACCTGGATTTGTTCTTAAAAGATACTAGCTCTGCTGCATTTAGAGGCTGTGTGGTATAGTGATTTGTGTTCGGATCATCCCTCTACCATGAACAAAGGTCATATAATACTTTTATTAGGGCCAAAAAATGACACAACACAGTCAGCTTGCTTTTGAGTTCTCCAGAACCATTAGGTTGGATGTTAAAGGACAAGGGGGAACCAGCATGAGATGTGTGTGTGTGTGTGTGTGTGTGTGTGTGTGTGTGATGTCATTTCCAGGAAATCCCAGAAGTGACGTCACAACTCTCTAAGAACCTAGAGAGGGTTGACACCACTTCCAAGTTTTCCCTAGAAGTTGTGCTAGTCATCGCTACAAATTGCTGGAAACTGCATGGTTTTACCATAGAGTTTCCCATGATTCCTAGAGAGGCATGGCATCAGTTCCAAGGGAAACCTGGAAGTGATGCCACACCATCAGCCTGATGGCCATTTTTAATTTTTTTCCTCCTGTCTCCACTCCAAGCAGTGGGAGGAAATGGGTGCTGAAGGAGAGGGGTCTCCTGCTCCACCTTAGGGCTTGCAACCTTACCTTTGTCTTGCTCACATCCTGTGTGGAATGCTAAGTAGGTGTGCAGATTTAAAATGGTGCTGCTGGTGTCTGGTTGTACCATGACCTTCTGTGGGAAGAAGCAAAAAATGGAAGCTGCCATGAAGTTAGTGCGTGACTGTAGGCCAGCTGATTAGCTACAATCCTTTTGGAAGTAAGCCCCAATGGAGCGGGACAACTTCAGGGATTCCTGAATGAAGCAGATTGCTTGGGCCTGTTCCAGTCTGGTTTCGAGCCCAGTGACAGGACGGAAATGGTCTTGGTCACCCTGGTGCATGACTTAGGCCAGGACATGGAAGGGGGAGCGCAACCCTATTCATTCTCCTGGACCTTTTGGCACCTTTCAGTACCATTGATTATGGCATCTTTCTGGACTGCCTCTTGAGACTAGGATTGGGAGGCATTGTTTTGTGGTGGTTTTGGTCTGACCTTGAGAGTAGATTCAGAGTGTGGTGCAAGGAAACTGCTGCCCCATCCCTTAGCCTCCAGCCTATGGGGTTCCACAAAGTTTTATCTTGTCCCCCATGTTTTTCAACATCTCTGTAAAGCTACTGAGAGAGATTTGGGCGGAGCTATCACCAGTATGCAAATGACATTTAGCTCTGTCTCATGGTTCCAGCAGATCCCAAGGAGTCTGTGGAAATTGTGAATTGGTGCCTGGAGGCAGTTTTGGGATGGATGAGGGCTAACAAGTAGAAACTTAATCCTGACAAAATGGAGGTGCTATTGGTGGTGGGGGGGAAGGTTTGACCCAGGAATGTGTATATCTCTTATTCTGAATGGGGTTGCACTCCCCCTAAAGGAACAGGTTTGTAGCTTGGGAGTCTCACTAGACCTGGATCTCCTATTGGCTAAACAGGTGGCAGCGATAGCCAGGAGAGTCTTTCACCAGCATTGGCTGGTGAACCAGCTGCAGCCCTTCCTAGACTGGAAAGTCCTTGCCTCTGTGATTCATGCCTTGGTAACATCTAGATTAGCAATGTGCTCTATGTGGGCCTGCCCTTGAAGACTGTCCAGAAGCTGCAATTCATACAGAATGCTGCAGCCAGAATGTTGACTGGTGTGGGTTGTAGGGACCATATCTTTGTGTAATAGTTTAAGCTCCATGAGAGAAGCATTCCCTTTAAAACAGACACATGGAAACAAAGAATCTCTTTTCCTGTTTCAAAGCAAGACATTGACCACAGGGCTATATGGAGAGGATTATTCAATAACCCATATCTACAGGTTATCAGCTCTCTGTTTGAAGAGAAGTCAGAAGTGTCTTTGTTTCAAGTGTCAAGCGAAAGCCTCATATCCCAACCAAAGTTTACCCGTGTATATTTTTTTAAGATTCTTGTTTAAAATCAATAGTCACTCTTGAAATGAGTAAATTATTGGGTGCAGTAAATAAGAAGCCTGGAGACCGACTAGCAGTGAACGTTCAGGAACGTTTATAGTGCAGTAATGGTGAATATTTACACAGAGAATATACAGACTGTTACACAGCACAACATGCCTCAGTTGGAGAGAGCTATGTCCCCCACCCAGTTTATCAAGCTTACACCTTATATACAAGTCCCAGCCAATCACTAACAGGGCAGACTAATTACCTACTCTTAACTAGGACAAAGAGTAGCACCTGGTAGTTTAACACCTGGCTGTAAGATTATTAGCCACTTAGCATGACAGCTAAGACTTACAGACTAGATCATACTGATCTATACACAGTAACAGCTTTCTACCTCACTTCATCCTAGACATATATGTCAATATAAATATGAAAGACTCATGAGTCATGATGATACAAAAACACTGACCTATGCAAATGAAATCAGAAATATTATCCCTTATCCTAAGAGTAAAAGATTAAATACAGTTTCTGAGATTCTCACCAAAGCGCTTTTAGAAAGGTTCACACAATGCACATCTGAGAGATTCAGGGGCATTTTGGGTCCGGCTATCTTATGTAGGCCCAATTATATAGGCCCAACACACAACTCCACCATTAACCAAATAATTCATGTCCAATATATGATACAAGTCAATCTGTGCTCAGAAATAACTTTCCCATAGAAATGTTGTAAACCAGTAATCTGCTTCCGCTTTCAAGATTTATTTCTGAGTATGTTTCTGCCTTTTCCTACATTATGTTTTCAAGGATGTAACAGTGAGAAGGTAAATACTTGCTTCATTTGACATACTGCCAGTAAAATTCTTATTGGCCCTCCTCTCTCATTGTGTGTGTTTTGTTTCTTTTTATGTTTACATGTTTTTCTTGTACTACTAAATTAAATACACTTTAAATGTTATTTTAAGATTTCAATGGTTTAATGCCTAATGTTCGCTGCCGTGGGAATGCTATTTGGGTCAAAAGGCAGTGTATCAACGTTTTACATAAATAAAACAAAATGGAATTAACTGCTGAGTAGACTTGCTACTCAGTATGATAACCTCAGTTTGGTCCTTTCAGCTTCTAGGGAGAGTTCAGGCTTGGATTGATGTAGAACCCATTTATTTGTAGGGAAGTGGAAACTATGTAAACTGTCCACAGCTCTTTGCTAAATGGAAAAATAAAACTATAATAAACAGATCTTTTAAAAATGGGGTGGGATTCATCCTGTTAATTACCCTGATTATTTATGCAGATACTTATACCTCACTTCTCTCCAATGGGGCCTCAAAGCAACTTAAAATAGAACAATACAATATAAACAAACATCCCTGTATATTTTGCACAACTGAATCCATTGAGAAGTAACACATGAAAAGACCTAACTCTGAGCTCCCATGACAATGAATCCAGAGTGTGTGTTACTCCAGTCTTTCAATCTCTCAGAAACTGACATGATTAATATTTCCATTTTCAAAGGGAGGGTGGTTCTTCCTTACTGGTCTTAGTAGCATGCAGAACATCTCAAAATTGGTTTCATACTTCACACGTTTCTAATTTAAGACTACAATCTTCATAACATTTTCCTGGGAGTAAGCCTCCTTGAATAAAATGGGATTCACTTCCAAGTAGACCTGCTTAGGCTTACTCCTGTCACACTTCCAGGAAGTTCCAAGAAGATTAAAAGGCATGCTGGAACCATAACTCCACCTTTTTGGTACTGAACCGTGAGTCTAATGAAGACCTCAGGAGAACTCAAAAGCTTACTACTCTGTGACATTGTGGTTGATACTACTAAGTTATTACCCAACTGTTGTTTTTTCTTTTTGTTCTGGGCCAACACAGCCGCCTACAAACTTTATCAGAAATTCCAGTGGAGTAACTTACGTTGTTAGGAAACCCAATAAGACCTGGGTGGCCCTTTTATAGGCTACAACATTCCAGCATATATATCCCTGAATCTGAGCCCAGTAGCTCACACACAGACTGATGGACATGAGCTCTCTAATCCACGGTAATCCTTGCAAAACTAATAGCTGCATCTTCCCAGCAGACGACAATCACCTCTTTTCCCCGCCCCTTCCGCCGAAGACATCATTCCCTCTCGCCAGTGTTTGTTTCTCTTTTCCCCTTCTTGCTGATGCCCCTCCTTCACCTCCACTCGGTAGCCAATTCCAGGAAGGGGAGGACATCCCCTCAGCCAATGGCAAGAGGCAGCAACGCATGACGAGAGGAGTAAAGGGACTTCCGCTTTTCTGTTCGTGCGTCGAGCCCGGAAGGAGACGGCCTTTTCCTAGACTCTGGTGGACGGTAGTCCTTGTGGTCGATTTTGAGTCTAACCCCGCTTCGAATTCGGGCAACGGTTTCCCCCCCCTCCCCCACCTCTTAACGGTCTTCTCTCCTAGCGGCGGGATGACGTACCCAGGGTTCGGAGCGGTAAGTACAAGGGAAGTGATTGGAGGGAAGGCCTGTCTGTCCTCCCCTTCTCCGGCCTTGTGGTCTGCCTGTCAGCTTCTTGGTCGTCTCTTCGCAATTTCCTTCCCTTTCGCTGTGTGGCCTCGTCACGGCTCCGTCGTGGGGGCCGGCGCGGCAGGACTGCGGCCGTTTCTCCCTCAGATGATGCCTGGGAGCGGGTGGGCCCTTCAGAATAATTTACCTGAATTCAAGTAGCGTCCGCTCTGCCCTCTCTCGTAATTAGAGGATTGCTGGGGAATGGAAGAACGTGGAGGGGGGGGGGGGGGCCCGGGGCCTTTTTTTGGGTTTTTTTTTTAAAAAAAAAAACCAGAATGGCCGTGCTGTTGCAGTGCCAGAAAATCGCGTTATTCATCTCACAGGCCTAAGGCTGAGAAAGTGTCACGTGCTTAATTTATGCGGTGATGAGGTATTATTAAAGGCAGGGCAAAGAACTCCCGTAAATTAGTAGTCCTCGATGCACAACTGTAACCAAATGAAGCCTCTTCAAAGTGTATGTCTTTAAGGAACTTTTAGAAATTACGGAATGTGCACCTTACTTCAACCCTCCCCCCTATTAAAATCCTGGAAACTATTGCTGTAGTCAAACTAACAACAGTGAATAGTTGCAGGGTTCCATCCGTTTTCATTACTGAATTTAAACTTTACTCTGAGAGAATGTTTTCATTCATTGATGCTTACTACTTTTCCAAACCAAAAGAGAGTAGCAGGCATTTTAGTGTACTGTGTTTGAATCTTTTGGAATTCCACCCAGTAAGTGTTGCTTTCAAGCTCTGGAAATCTTAGGAATATTACTATCTGGCATATGCCTATAGGAATTTTACAGAAATTGAGCATCCTTGACTAACACTTATTCAGAATAAAGGCCCTTATCTTTATAGTCTATGTTTCTGGGAGTATGTTCACTAACCAGGAAATAGAAACATAAGTCTTCATCTGGTTTGTGTGAGTGAAGACACTGATATAACTCAAAATTGAGGATTAAAGGGCCTTATTTCAACCTTCATATGGGCAAACTGTCATACTTGTCATACATCTTGGTTTGGTGTGCCAGTCGAGCTTTTCTATCTTATCAAGATATTGTAGTGGTAATAGTACAGTATACTTACATTTGGCTGTAGGAAAATAAACTTCAATGACAATGCATGTTTATATTGAGCTAGTAAGTACAGTGAAATATGCTTATTCTTTTCATACAAGTATGGCGCTTACCGTGGCCAGATACCAATGCAAATGGCCATGGGTCAGCCAGTCCCAGGAGGAGTACCGAGTGTGGCCCATGCTGCATCTTCTGGATATTCGGTTTATTCTGGTGCCTATGCTGCTGCTGCTGATCCCATGTGGACATTTTTCAGCGCTATTTCTGGACAGGTAAGTTAAAGCTGCTGTCTTCAAATTTTGGAAGTAAGCTGTTTTGTCTATTATAGTAGCAGTCTCTTAATACTGCTAGTAATTTCATTTTAAACACCATTTAGTATCTGTTAATCTTACAGTGATTTGCTGCTGAACACTGCAGTTTGATAACCTTCAGCTTGTCTTTTCTGGTGGGGTGGGGGTAATTGCGATGGCAAGGCTGAAGCTAGTCAAACTACATGGTTATTGGCTTTGTGCAAGTATTCCCACATGGTGGATCACTTTTGTTTGACCTGGGCCTATTTTTGTTGATTACAAAAGTTAAAATAAAACTTGGGGAACAAATTTAGGGTTCTTGTTTCTTGGTTCCAGTCAGTCATTGACAAATCTACCATACCCACGTATTGAAGCAATGGCACCGTTTCAGCTTCCTCTTCTCTCTCTTTTTATTCTGGAAACACACTAAAGAGAACCACTGAATTCTTGTTTTTTTTTTTTTTTTTTTTAGTAAACAAATTTTATTTTCTCAGGAATACAACATATAAAACATTTCATTCTATCAATTGTCTACCCCATTCCCAGTTCCTCCCCTCCCTCCAATGGCTTCCCACAATGCTTCCACCCCTGCTCCAAATTACTTCATATCATCAACAATATCAGTTTTTCATCATTACAATCTAAAGATAACATCGTTTGACTTAATATTGATCTAAACATATTAAGTTTTGTTTCACATCCCAGTTCTTTTCCAGATAAATTTTAAAATCATTCCATTCTCCAAAAAACTCATCGTCTTCTTTGTTATTCAGTTTTTTTGTAATCTTAAACTGAATTCTTGTTTTTAGCAAGAGTTGTTTTGGAAATTAAGTTCAGGTTTAAATGCAGGCCGTAGTAAGCTATTTTAGCTCTGCATATCCCATTCCAAATATTTAAGATTGTGTGGCATACCTAGGATGTTTTTTTTCCCATTGGCTCTGTTCATGTTAAATAATTATTAGACATGCAATATTAAAAACCATGCAAAAGTACCTTTTTATTATTTTTGAGTCTGCATCAAGTTTCTGGGTTGGTATAAGAAGAAGCATATTGCACATATCTAGGTATTTTATAGAGTAGCACCAGTAAAAGAGAACTGGTTAAAAGGTTATAGTGTAAAGATTCACCAAAGGGCATATGCATGGCCCCACAGGTCATTGGTCTCTAGAACGTTTTGGGACTTGTGATGCCATTATGCATTCTCCCAAGATATGGATCTGCATGAAGAACTTCCATTTCAGGTAAGTAACTTTACTTTAGATTTTTCTTTTGCCTTTTTACAAATTTAGGTGATGAGCCACACTACTTGTGATGATGATCCACTTATTCAGCCCTACATACCGGTGTTTCGATAGGGACAGCTTGTGTACAGGATTTCTCTGCACTACAGGAAAGGCTATTTTCAGGTTTTGTTGATGGTAGTGGGTTTCATCAGGTCCAGAAACCTAAATACTTTTAAGATGACATGCAAAAATTAGTATAGTTTAAGAACACATGATCTCTAAGTCAGTTACTCATTTATCTTGGTACCTTTAATGTTTGTAGAAAGGAGGCTGAGCATTTTTAGATTCTGCAAAATTGTAAGTCATCAAAGTGATTTTATAATGAATGGAAAGGATATTCTGGGACACAACATGTGAGTGGTTATACATTTGCAGTTCCTTTCTATTGTTTTTAGGGTGGCATAAATAACAGTTACTCTGGACAGCTGGAAGCTTTGTTTGGATTAGTCATTGAGGCATCAGATAGGCAATGAAGTATTATTGATTTAAAAATTAATTCTGTACACCTTGTGTTCACCTGAATTGGGCCTTCTCATGAACATTAATGATAGCATTATATCCTACCTCTGAAGGTGCCAGCTTGTTAGCAATACTCACATCTGCCTCTTTAGAGGAAACTGCACAGCATATATTTGTAGAAAGATAGGTGGGGTTCAAGTTTGTTTCTGCAATCAGAAGTTTCCCTTAAGAGTACATAACTTCTACAATTTGGGTTCCTGTTTATTGAATTTTACGTGTGTAAACCCTGGGTATGGCCAGTTAAAGTGTTATTAGACTGTCAGTATACACTTGGCAGGAAGAAAGCACAAATGTGGGTCTAGAAAGCTAGTGTTATTTTTTCCTCTTCCCCATTTTTTTGGGTGGAGAATCAGGCAGCTAGTTAGCAGGTACCAGAGCACTCTTCTATGTTTTCAGCCTGGAGAAGGTATGTCTGTTATGAAGGGTGCCATAGCAACTTGGTGAAAATAAAAGACATGGCAGCTCTTCTCTATCTGCCATTTAGTTGATTGGTCAGACATCTGCAGCAAGTTGAAGGCTAATGCTTCAATAGAATAGAAAATAAATAGTATTCATCAACAAATGTAGTCTTCCGTTCAGTATCAATCTTCTGCAGATAAAGAATGGTGAAGATAGGAGTCACCAGAATGAAACCACCTTCTGATGACTTTCTTCATTCTGGCAGTAGCTGTTCCTAGGTTGGGTTGGTGGTTGCTTCTCTTCCTCTCAATTAGCAGTAGAAACTGCTAAAGAACCCTGTGGATTTGATAGATAAAAGTGTGGGTTATAAAACTGCTTCAAGTCTCTAGAGAAGTGGCTGTCTTTTATAAAATACCTAATTTGAAGTGTTTTTGCTTGGTAGTTGTTTTCATCTAGGAAGTTCCCTAAATGGAGAATCTTGGATCCTTCACAGAATTTAGGGCACTGGGTTGTACTTGGAGTAGTAAAGACAAGCTCTGATTCAGAACAACTAGGATGGGGTGGAAGATGGTGGGGAGTTAATCTTATCAGAAGTGAGGATTTGGTGAGTCTGTAGGAAAGTCTTTATAGAAGAATCAGTTTTTGAAAAGAGAAGGGACTTGCCAGAAGTATTCCTAATATAGGGAACTGCCTATAAGTATGCAAAGTAAGTGTGCTTAGAGCCGCCTTCTTCCAGAAAGTCCTTGCATGCATAGAAGATCCATTATATGTATTAGACCTCCCACAAATTCCTGGATTGGTTACATATCCAAAAATAAATGTGGATTGCCGCTAAGGTATGTCTTCAGTGTTTTGCTAGTGCTTCTTGGATTCAAGAGTTGTCCCTCCTTTGGAGACCAAATTGCTGCCATCATTGCATTTCCTTAAAACTTTAAGGCCATGGTTTTTAAACTTGTTATCTTCAAGGAACCCTTTCCATCTTTGCTGGTGATAAGCTCTGCCTAGCAAAGAATTTTGGGGCGTGTTGATAGGGTCTGTTTGGCTGTATGTAAGCCGAGAGTCCACTCAAGAATGAATCCAATGCTGTTTGCAGTGGTGCAGCAGAGAAGATCATTAGTGGCAAGTAAGCTGTCTTTCTAGGCAGCTCGCTCGCCATCATTGATCGTTTCATTGAAGAATCCTTCATACGTTTTCAAGGAGACCTAGGGTTCTCCAGGACACACTTTGAAAAACCATTGCTTTAAGAGTAACTGTATTTATGAGAACTTAAAATATATGGGTGAGGGAGAGATCTTTTATTTGTTTTGCATTTCTCTGCCTAGGATCTTGAACACTTGCTGACTTCCATATTTTTATTAATTCTCAAGTGTAATATTTTAGTGAATTTAGTTTTTTATAGGAGGAATAAACATTCACTCCTGAAGTACCAGTCAAATAAGCACAGTCTGTCATCTGCCATGTAGCAAGACCAGTGGGGTGATGGAAGCGTGGGCCCTGACACTCAAAAGAACTGATCAGGTAGAAATTCACAGAAACATGAGTATTGCTTTTGGAGGGGAGGGTAAACACAGGAACATGAAATCATTTCTGAGTGTTGCTGAATTGCTTTGCATCAGTCAGTGGGGCTCAGAAGTATACTCATCACCAAAATTTCAGTGCTCCTTTTCCTCTGTGAGCTTACCCAATGAAAAATGCTCTTGTTTTTGTGGGTAAATGCCATAATTATCTTATTGTTATATAGCCACATCAGACATTTTCTTGAATACAAAGCCATGTTGATTCCTAGTCTACTAAGCATGTTTGATAGCGCTGTAAATGTTGCACCTTTGCAGTATTCAAGCATAGCTAAAATACGTTTGAGTTCATACTCTCTCCTGCTAACAGTGATATGACTTTTGTATCTGCACAGTACTTATTTATTCAATGTAGCCAGGAGGAAGATGAGCTCTTTCAGGGTGGCGTAGCTAAGACGGTTTGCACCAACCTCCTGGAAACTCCTCAAAAGCCCCATCCTTTCAACTTCAGGTTAATGGGATTAGAATGGGGTCAGAATCAAGAAATACTGGATTTTGAATTTATCTTCACTTTTTTTTATTACAAAGGTTTAAGCCCTGTCTTTCCTTTTAGTTCAAGGCCGCTTACAATTTTTAAAAATTCCAGTTAAAAAAAATAAAACGATAAACCCCAAATCCCTCCCTCCCCCTTAAAAGAAGCTTGTCAATATTTTTATTTATTAAAACATTTAAACTTTCATTGGAGAAGCTCGCAAATAGCACTTTTGTTTGGGGTGTGAGGGATGTAAAGTCAGTTTGGGGAAAGATAGTATAATATACTGTAACACATTACTTGCATACAGAACTTTCTGTATTGGGATAAATCTCTGTGCCAGGTGTGTCCTCCTAGCAGTATTACTCATAGATGTGCCATGGTAGTAGAAAATGCTACACTTCATGCCATGGTGGTGAGTGAATCTTCTTCCTTTGGAGGTTAAATCTTATTTGATCATCTTTTGAGCTTGGGTCCCTGGGAGCAGGAAGCTCTTTTTTTGTGTATGTACACAGTTGGGCTTGAGTTTAATCTGCAACATTTGTGAATGTGTAGTATAAACTTGTAGGGGAAATGTGAAAGGAAAAAGCCTTTCAAGTCTTTATATTTACATGGTTTCTTTAGTAATTTACAAAATGTGAAACATTTTGTGTGGCTTTTTTTTTTAAAAAAAAAGATCAGCATCTCAAGCAACTTCATATGAAAGATCTGTTACTTTGTACCACTACAATCTCAAATTAAAATATGCTTCATTTTAAGTTGTATATAAGATTTCTGATTTTCTATGTAGAGTATGATCTCAGTATGGTAGACTCTTAGATAAGGCATTCTTGTGAAGTATTCTAGGTCTGCAAGTCTGGCTAAATTTTAGTTGGCTGTGTATTATTCGTGTACACTTCATCTTGTATGACTAAGCTGGTCCGTGTCCCTGAATGTCAAACATATCTGCATTCACTTTACAGGATGGTGAAGTGGATGCTGAAGAGCTACAGAGGTGTCTAACACAGTCTGGAATCACTGGAACTTACACTCGTAAGACTTTACAGCCCCTTTAAATTAAATATTTGTGTACTATTTTGTATGCGCTTTTAATTTTAAAAAATCAACATCTCCAGAGAAAACATCTTGCAACAGGATATGTATTGTGAAGAGTTACAGTAACATTGTCTCACATGGATACAATGACAAAGAATCCAGAGAGCTATTTCAAGTGTCTCCTGTGGTATTTTTGACTCTTCTTAAATACTAGATTGAGGCAGTCAAACTTGCTTAATGTAAGAGCCACATAGACTAAACGTCAGATGTTTGAGAGCCACAAGACATTAACAGATATTACACGTTTTTATTTAAAATATGATTTGCTTTTCATTAACATTAAATGAGACTGCCAAAAATAAAAACAAAAGGGGTAAAAACAGATATTGATAACAATATTTATTTGTCCAGTGATGTTTATTTGTTTGATGATATTTATTTGTCTAAGAGAGACAGAGAGAGGTGGAAAGAAAGAGAGAGAGAGAAAGGTGGAAAGAAAGAAAAAAGTGGAAAGAAAGCAAATAGATGGGGAGAAGGAGGAAGGGAGAGGTGAAAAGAAAGCAACTTTAGAAGAAGAAGAGATTGGATTTATACCCCGCCCTTCACTACCCAAAGGTGTCTCAGAGCGACTTACAAACTCCTTTCCCTTCCCCTCCCCACAACAGACAGCCTGTGAGGTGGGTGGGGCTGAGAGAACTCTGACATAAACTGCTCTTTTTCAAGAACAGCTCTTATCAGAACTATGTCTTGCCCAAGGTCATCCAGCCAGGTGCAAGTGGAGGAGTAGGGAATCAAACCCGGTTCTCCCAGATTAGAGTCCGCGCACTTAACCACTACACCAAACTAGCTCTCTTCTTTAAGTGCATCCTCCAAGTTCCCTCCCTTCCCCCACACCGGCTGTCTTGGAGAAGGGATTTAAAGAGACAAATGCTTCCTCTAAGCTAGCAGGTGGGGGGGCTTTGAGAATGCATTTAAAATTAAAGTTGCTTTCTTTTCCCCCTTCTCTCCACCTCAAGCCTACCCAGGGAGGGAAACACTGGCTGGGGAAGGAAAGTCCAATTGGGGAGGCATGCTTCCCCAGCTGTCCTGCCAGGAGCCACACAATATGTTTGAAAGAGCCTCATGTGGCTCCCGAGCTTCAGTTTGGCCACCCCTGTACTAGATGCTTGTGCGATGTATGCTTTGGTTTGGCATTGAGATGACAGTAGTCAGGTTGCTGTTTACAAAACAAACACCCTCTTTTGAAGTTCTTCAGATTGAACTTCTTATCTGGTCTACCCTGAGGGCCAAACAGAACTGACCTGTAAATGCTTCTGCCATTTTAAAGATGTTTAAAAATGCTGTGAGTGCACTTGAAAAGACTCCAAGGTAGGGGAGAATAATAGACAAGAGTGCCTCAGCCCATTGGGCTGAGGACCTAATCAGGATCGGATCCTCACAGTATTTTAAAATTGGTTTTAAATGGCAGAGGCATGCACAGGTCAGACATGTAGACATCATCATGTTGCTTTCCTTTAGTAGCTTTTCCTTATGAGATCTTTTTGGGACTCTAATCTTTGATGGATACTTTCTGCTCATTGGAGAGGCATGCATATGAATGTTCTTCTCCCCCATGGTATCTTGCACAGAAACATATTGCTAATACACTAAATACTGTGCTACGTGTCTTGTGACTAAAAGAAAAAGGCCACCTCAGCCAGACCAAATGAAGTCCAGTTCAAAGTTAGTCCTTTGAAATCCCACGGGTTGAAACTGCATGCATAAATATTTCCATAATTTAAATTCTGGATCATGGAAGTTTAAGTAACAATGAGATCTCTGCACCAGCATTCCTTGCATGTAAAGTTCCTGAAGTGAGCGCTGTGCAAGCAACACTATTTTGTGTACACCTGAAACGGAATGGTTGGGATAGCCATGGTATATTGTAAAATTAGTCTTGTGTAATAGAAAAAATATCTATTTCATAATTGCATATACATGGGTTTAGCATATAAGATGCTTCATTTTCCATGGAAGCTGTGAGAAGGTTCAGAAGGCAGTTGAGACCCCCTCAAGCCATTATTTATGTCCTCAAATACTGGTAAAGCTACGCTGTGTATCAAAAACTTTTGGACAATAATATTTGTTTTTCTTTCTATTTCCTGGTCCTTCTGATAAGGAATTCAACTTTTCAGTGTGCCAGGAATTGCTTGAAGATCACCTTCCAACTGAGGAAGCATTGTCATAGTTCCAATTTGATGTCAATTTCCATTACTCTTCTAACAGTGCCATCCTAAGTAGACCTATACTGTTCTAAGCCCATTGATTTCAGTAAGCAGAAGGGTGTCACTGTACTTAGGATGACACTCTGTGTTTTGAATGGCACTTTCGGCTGGTAACACTTTTCTAGAATAAATTTGACAGTGTTTCTGTTTGCATACAGATTATGCAGGTTGTATAGAGTGGCAAAATAGAGGAATTTTTTCTTATCAGTATGTATTCATCATGAATTTCTGTTTTCAACAAATTAGTCATTGTATAATTGTACTTGGATCGTTAGTTTTTATGAACTTCACTGTGGTGCTAATTATGACAGACTAATGGTGGTTAAGGCTGAGATCCCTGCAAGGTGGCTTTGTAGTAATGCTTCCTTTGCTTATAATTTCAGCATTCAGCTTGGAGACCTGCAGAATTATGATATCAATGTTGGATGTATCCTTTTTATAAACAATGGTCAGATGGAACAATCAGCTTAGTATTGCATTCATATAGTTGGGTTATGTTTAGGGGTGCAATGGAACCAGGGTTTAGAGACTGGTCTCAATGGGAATTTAGGAGCGTCTCTGGCTTGGATCCAACACCTTTGCTCAGTGCATGTCTCCCCGTGGGTGCCAGAGGCAGTCCTCTGCTTTTCACTGAGCCCCTACATGTCTAGCTCAGAGGAAGTGAGCTCTGCAGCAAGGACTGTCTCTGTAGCACCTGCAGAGGTTATATGCACAGAGCAAAGATATAGGGTCCAAATCTCTATTCTAGACCACAGCACAACTTGGGAGAAGTGAGTGGGAGGGGAAGAATGAGAACTGAATGAGAACTAAATTGATCTGGTTGTGATTATCAGGGCTAAGCTGCAACCAAAGACATGGGAGTAAATCCCACTGAACTCAGTAGGTCTTGCTGGTGACTTGTAAGGTAGCTTTAAACAGATGTTAGATACATTTCAGAACCTTTGTTCTGTGTCTAGTGTTAATAGGATGGGATGCTTTGATAGTCAAAGAAAGTGTCCACTGTTTCAAAGCTTGCTTGCAGTTCTTCTTCCCCACAAGGTTTCAGTACTTTAACTGCATGTTTTGTTGTGTCATGGGTGCTGGTATTAAACAATCAAAAAGGCCTGTTACATTCCCAGGCTATTCCTCACTTTGGTGAGTTTGCAGCACTCTCCTGAGCAAAGAAAATAGGAAGGTGGGTGGGACCATTCATTAGGCCAGAGTTTGACTTGTTCCACATAATGGAAGCCATAGAGGCAGGGGACCAAGTAGCTATTAAAAGGTGCTTTGTGTGTATATATACATCAAAAAGCATCTTTTCACTTTCTCTATGATGACTGTCTTATGAAAAGAATGTTTTGTGACCTGTATTCTGGTTTCTGGTTTATGTTAGTAAGGAACTGCCTTATAGTGGGTTGTATCCTGCAATTGCATTCCTCTAATGCCAGAGTGTCTCTGGTGTGAGGACCTTCCTCCAACACATGTAGGAGTGTCTCAGCACTACCATGAGCTGAGGCAGAGTTATACGATAGTCCAAAAAGTTAGGCTTCTGCTGATCTCTACTCCAGCTGTCACTGCATGCTCATTTGTCAGGCAAGGGTCTTTCTCAAGCCTGCTGTTCAAGTTCCTCTTTAAAAAAGAAAAACCCTTCAAGATTTCCTGGGCAAGTATTGAGGCCCTGTGAAAGAGTAGTTTTGTGACTTTCTTCCTGGTTTCTTTTATGGTAGTAGAGTTATATGTAAGGAAAATGTACTGGCAGCTGACAAAGTATTGAATAAAAAACCATGCACCAAATGACAGATTATAACTAAAAAGTAAGCTGCATCTCAACCTCTGCCTTCCTGGAACCCTAAGAAAAGAGGACATTAGTAAGACAAAATGAGCCATTATGTTAGTAGACCTGTTTTTTCACCTAGGTTGCCACATTTGGCGTGGTGTTGCTTTATGAGTAGCTGTTTGAGAATTCTGTTAAGTTTTTTTTGTTAACCAACTGACCTCAGAGAGATAATACTGGGAAAATGGGCTTCAATGAATTTAAAGAACTCTGGGCAGCTCTAAGTGCTTGGAAGCAAAACTTCATGATGATTGATCAAGATCGAAGTGGAACTGTAGAACTTCACGAATTGACTCAAGTCATCGTAGCTATGGGTAAGATAACACCAAAACAAAATAGATTGCTTTCAGACCTGTTAAAGACAAACTCTTGTCTAAAATTGTATGCTGTGTACACGAATCTTGGCAGCATTTCTTATTGTCCATATAACTTGGAAATAGTTTTGATGACCTCTCACAGGCACTGCAGCAATTTTGAATGTAAGATAGTTTGTTTGAAAGTAGGCTGTGTACTGAACATGGTATTGTTTCTATAACTTATCAGTGTAACTTCCAGGTATTGTTGGTGGACTCCCAATAAATTTGCTCAGCAGCCAGCTGGTAGAAGAGACTGCAGCACAGCACTCAGAGTTAAATAATAGCTGGGTATCCTGAAGGACAGGTGTTCAGAGAACCTTTCTTTGGCATCTGAAAGCAGAATAGTAAACAGATTTGTGTTTTGGAATGTAGAAACGAGGCCCTCATCAATGAAAATATCTTCATATGGCACAACAATTTTTGAAAACGGGGTCGGGTTAAATGAACATTTTCAGCTCCTGTTACCTGGCTTGTGTAGCCAATGAGTAATGTGATGTCGAGATGCTTAGAGGTATATGGTTTAGTTCCAGTGGTTGGGGTTGGCATTTGTGGGCCTTTCTTTTAGAGCTAAGGACAACTGATTGATGGGACATCAACCTAATCTCACAGGTTCCAAGTAGGACTCTGTAGTAAATACGCATGTATGATTTTTAGATCAGAATTACAGATTTTCTGGCAGACTCCAGTCTTGGAACCCAGGTCTTTCCAAAACAGTGCAGAGTGGGATTGGAGAGGCAAAGTGGTGGGGGAGGAGCACATTTGCTGTGTTGTATAAGAAAGTGGGTGAGGTCAAGTTAAGCACTCCCCATCTGCCCGTTCTTGGCAGCTAGTGGCCCCTTCATTATTGCTTTTTCTTTATTTGATGGCAGATCTGGGTCTGTCTCTGGCCATCAGAGTGATAAAGCAATGTAGACAGAACCCCATTGACTTCAAGCCATTGCCTGGAATAAGTCTGCATAGGATTACACTGTTAGAAGGATGTGATTTAGACAGGGAGAAACTTCTACAAGACTGATCTGCTAGTCCTAGATGAGAATCCAGAGCAGCAATAGAGCTTTCAGAAAGGAAAGATAGATCCAGGTGGGTAGCCGTGTTGGTCTGAAGCAGTAGAACAAAGTTTGAGTTCAGTGACACCTTTAAGACCAACAAAGTTTAATTCAAGGTATAAGCTTTCGTGTGCAGGCACACTTCTTCAGAAGAAAGGAAAGATGTCCCTTTCCTGTTCAGCAGGTACTTTATCTTAGTAATATGTCCATTTAGTTGGCTGTCAGGGTTTTCCTTTTGGTTGTCATGATTTGTGACTGTTGGAAATAGTCTCTGTATGTTTAACATCCAAAGCCTTGTAAACTTTTTTACTTTATCCAGGTTATAGGCTAAGTCCACAGACATTAATTGCTATCGTCAAACGTTACAGCAAGAACGGCAGAATTTTTTTTGACGACTATGTGGCTTGTTGTGTGAAGCTTCGGGCTTTGACTGGTGAGTTTTGGTGACTAAGGATTCTATTCCTCATGCATATTTTCTTAAACCATAACTTCAGAATGAGGTTTAATGTAAAGACTATTGCAGTTTATTAATCAAACTGCTTCTGTTTCTCCATTATAATTCAGAACAACATGCAATGTATCATGACAATTGACAATTCAAGGTAGTGAAAATAGCATTAAGACTTAATTTCCAAATGTGATATTTTAATTATAGTTACAAACACTGTAAGCTTGAAAAGCCATTTCAGTAAACAATATTTGAAGAGGTCTCTGCTACAGTGTGTGAATTATCCATTTTCTATGACAATTAGTGGAATTAATTGAATAAAAGAGTATTAATCATTAAAATAAAAGGTGTCATTCAGAAAGATGTAGTCCTTTGCAGGCTGAGGCATTTAAATGCGGTTGCAAATCAGTGTTTGAAATTAGCACAGTACTAAAGCGCAAGATTTTGACAACAGGAACTTATCTATTTCTTGTAGATTTCTTCAGAAGACGAGACAGCATGCAACAGGGCATTGTGAATCTTGTATATGATGATGTAAGTAGCAGAACTGGCTATTCAGATTCTATAGAAGGTGCCCTTACAAGAGATGCATGATGTAACTTGGTAATCTGTTTTCTATTATGTGCTTGCAGCATTTTCAGGAGTTTTTTTAAGCACTCGCCTATCTCCAAGTAGTGTTGGCATTTACTGTCAAAATCACACGCATAGGCCTCCATGCAGTAGGGTGACCCTGGTCTCCTCGTCTCCTCAGTTTTGTTGCTTTACATTCCTACTTAATTTGTTTAAAATATTTACATACCACACTTTTCATGTATTGCTTGAGGTCCTAGTAGCCTTGTTCACAGAATATGGGAGTCACCTGTCTGGATGCTTACAGGTGTCAAATAATGACGGATATGTGAGGCAGGCTTATTGCCCCAAGTGATATCTACTTGATGGCTGTATTGTTTGAATTGTGTGTCACTCCCTAGTTAAGACTGCAGAGCTCCCTTTTGTAATTTCTAGTAGTAGCCTCAGTGGTAAATTTTTATACACTTGACTGTGCTAATAATGAAGCCTTAACTAAGATAGCCCCATTCCAAAATGGTTTTGCATGCAAGGGCTGTGAAAAAAATACATCTGCAAAACAAGCTGTGTTTCTAGCTTCAGTAATTTCAAGCTGTAGCTTCTGGTATTACCAGTTATGATTCCTTAATAGCTGTGACCACAGCATTGTTTTCTTACTAATATCCAAAATCAGTCTCCTGCTAACATAGTATTCTGGAAAAGGTATTGTTCTATTTCTTTTCTGTGTGTATGTGTGAGTATTTTGTGTGTGTGTGTGTGCGTGGAAGTCATGGTTGACTTCTGGTGGCCCCTAGTGGGGCTTGGATGTTTCAGAGAGGTGACTTACTATTGTCTGCTTCTAAGTCCCAGCCCTGGTATTCCTTGGAGTTCTCCCTTCCAAGTACTTGCCAGGGTCGGCCCTTCTTAGCTTCTGAGCTCTGATGAGATCCGGCTTGCCTGGGCTGTCCAGGTGAGGGCTAAGGTATTGTCCTAATTCTGAAGCTGTATTCAAGGCCTGAAGTATTGTGTTTATCTAGGGCGTAATCATTTTTAAAGTATGCAAACACTGGTCCTTAGTTTACAGGGTTACATAACCTGTTTCTCAGACTGGAATATGTATAACTTGTCAGCTGTCTGGGGCATTTAACTCATGCAAAGTACTGCTCTCCCTTCAGACTTTTCTGCACCATTACTTGACGCATGAAAGCTACCTAAAATTTGAACTGAATTCTGTTGGAATATTATTTTCTTGGTTTCTGTTTTAAGTAAAACATCTAGGCTGTGATAGCCATATCTCTAGACATGTGAAGGCCGGGGGGGGGGGGGGTCTGGAGATCCCTTCCCTTGTCCCCCCCCTCCGGGGCCTTTTTCAGTTTTTCTGATGGAAATTTGGGGAGCACTGGGGAAAAATCCCTTTGAGGGAATGATTGAAATGTGCTAAGATAGCACAGGGATAACTTATCTCTTTTGCTTCAGTATTGAATGTATTTGCAGTTTTGCTTGGAGAAAATGAATGCATTTATACCCTTTCTGTAAAAGATGTCATTAATACAGTTTTATATGGTTAATTACAAACAGTTCATTGTATGTTAAAGTAGCAAAATAGTTTAGGTTTGCTTTTTAGAAGTATTGCATATATTTCAAATTTTCCCAGTTTTTTCTGACAATCTTATGTTTCATATCTTCCAAACATGTGGAAGTTTTACATCTACATATTGCATCCCATGTTCAGGTTACAGGTATAAAGATATATGTATACAAGGAACATCGGCTTATCTAAAGCTAAGGCACATGTATAGCCCACTGGGATACTGGGTATATTTAAGGCAATATCAGTTTTGTTTTTATGATAGTGTACAGTGTAGGGAAGATTTCTGTGGATGATGTACAGGGATACTTTGTTGTTTAAAAGTCAATTTGAGTTGTGTTCCCTCTGTCATTCTTTGTAGTGTCTTTGTGAAAGCTGCTTATTAGGATAGTGAACAAAACATGCAGCCTCTGCTTGAATATTGATAGTTCTGACGGAATTAAATGTACTTCCTTTGCAGTTCCTGCAGTGCACTATGGCTATCTGAGTGCCAGCTGTTGAAGAGAGTGCCAGAATATGACCCATCTGTTTTGAGGAAACTAATGGATGCTGTGAAAACGAGGCTGCCACTGACTTTTTCACGTTTCTGCCCGCTAACGCGTATCTTCTGTATAAAATACCTTTGATTTTTAGTGTGTAGTTCAACAATAAACAAGTGTTCATATTTTACAGTAGTTCTTAGATGTGTGCCATTCTTTATGCATATTGATGTTAGACTTTTAAAAAATATTTTTGGGTTATGCTCTCAGGATCAATTAGAGAAGATACACAATCATGGTTTATGTCAAGGTTCTAAACAGGGTTCAGCTTATCCTTAAAAGTGCAATGGGCCTGTTGTTTGGAACCACCATAAAAGCTGGCTGCTGAACAGCAAGCTTTCTAGTGGTATATGAAAACAGCTTATGCTGCACATCTGTCAAATTCTAAATGTACAAAGAAAACCCATCTAGTTGATATCTTCTGTGCTGTCTTAAATAAAACAAGCTCTTGGATTTGTTTTCAGCTGAATCCTCAATAGATTTACTCAAACCTAGCCTGGCGGAATATGCTCATAGTAAAGATTATTTAATGGTGGTTGAACAAATCTTTCTTAGAGCTATTTTTTATCTTTAAGATCTATTCTACAGAGTAATTCATGTGCCTCTGTAGGGCACCCACCACTTCCCTTAAGTTTAGAACATTTGAAATGCTTCTAGGTGTGTAAAGGGGGGGGGAGGCTTTCTAATTGACCCTTCAGTGGGCAGTTTTCACATGGAATTCCAACATTATCTTTGCAGCCCAGTAAACAAATGCCTGACTTTATTATCCAGACCAGCACCGTATGTTCCCCCTGCACTCTGCTGCATGAAAATAGACCCATGTAGCTTGCTAGGGAAGCTCCTTGTTAGGTGAAGGAGTTCCTTGTATGATTACAGTGATGTCAACAAAGACTCTGAAATGGTGCCAAGACAGCTGTGTCTTCGAGTGATGTATAAACTAGGCCCAAGGCAGTCCCTTGCACTGTTCAACCCTAATTTATACACCTATTTTAGGATTTGTGGATTTGAGTGAAGCATCCAAGTTGGCCTGTGGCTAATGGATGGACAGTGTTTAGTTACTTTCTAACTACTCTGTGCTTACCTGAAATATGCTCATCCAACCTTATTAGCCATTGTGTAGATGCTGCTGCTCGACAAGAAGGGGTTGCCCTGACACTTTGTTGTTGCTCCTGCAACACTGACCGTTGTGACATGTGTGTCATGAGTCTGTTCAGCTATGCTGCACAGAGCCACTTGGCAGGCACTGGTGGAAGAAGGTAGAGTTTGATTGGCCCTCCATGTTGCAGCCCAACCACTGTTGTAACAGCCAGTGTGTCAGCTTGTTAGTGCAGCCCAGCACTCCGTGGTATCTCTTTGTGTGTGTTAAATTAGTGCTTGGATCCACTCGCTTAAGCAAAGTTTGCCTTAATTAGCTATGAGGGCACAAATTGCGGATGACCCAGGGTCACTTGAAATGTAAAGGGTCAATTTACCTGACAGAAGCAGTAATTTCTCATGCTAGTTAAGACACTTTGTGTGGAAATCTGTAATGTATGTATACAAACCTATATTGGTATCTAAATACTGTGTTTTCCCCCACCCACCTGAAGAATTATACTAGTATCTGGATTCTTTTTATAAAATGTCTTTCAGCCCCTGTGACTCTTCCTTTGCAGCTGCCAACATGAGTCCTACATTTGCATGCATAATTTTGCTGTTCACAATTGTCAAGTAATGGTTGTAGATGATTTGCAGTCTATGTAGAGACTTCTTTACCGTATGAAATTGCTGGATACTGTCCTAACTGTACAAATGCTCTTGTAGTAACTATTTTCATTACCATCCTGGCCAATTGTCTGAAAATAAACTTGGAGCTGGCTTTATATTCTTTCATAGAAAGGCTGTGTAAATCTGAGAGATTCTTTAGTAGATCTTATAGGATAATTTCATTACTTTTAAGAAAACCTTGAATTCTGTATAAACAATGCAGCATTTTGGCAATGCATAGGAACAATCAAAATGTTAAGATTTTTTTTTTGAGGGGGCAGTCTATATTTCTGAGGAGAAAAATATGGTCCATGCCTTCTGGAACTGCAGCATACTATGTCTTGTATATAGAAAACTATAATGTATGGGAGAAAATACCCTTCTTCCAGAGTTGCTGTCTTTCATGTACCTTGTGTATTCTGGTAATCTGAGTTACCTTTACCTTCACGCAAATGTGCTTGATTTTAGAAGGTGCGGGCTTCTGTATTCCACAGGAACAAGGCATAGTACTATAAAAAGTCATAATACAAGCCCTTGGGAAAAAAACTAAACCTTTTAATGAAATTTGTCTACTTACTAGGAGACTATTGTTAAAATACTACTAGACGACTTCCTTGTGCAGGTAATAGAACAGATAAAATGTAAGTTGCAGGTTTGGGTAAAAAACAGTGCTTTGGGGCAGTGTACCCTATAGTGACCTTTCTCCAACGTGAAGAGAGGGTCCCTGTTGAACCTCTGTGAGATGAATCCACATCAGTGCTTTTCAGTAACTGGACTCTTCTGAGCGCTGTTCCCCATGGTTTCCACTGAATATTCCAGGAAAGTGCCCAGTTTCTAAGAACTGGGATTATTTCATTAATATGGGCCCAAGACTAACAGTTTTAGTTTTAAGCATGAAGCAACTTGTCCATGATTATATAAAAACCATCAGCATGTAGGGGATTGGTCTCTGAGCTGGGTCAGCATATGGTGGTGAAATGGCATACCACGAATGCTGGCCCGTAAAACAAAGCTCTCCACAAGTAGGAAACTTAGCACAGGGAGAGGTTCTAAATACCTATTCCTCTGCGAAAGACTAAAAACATCCGGTAAAACAGTTCCAGAGACCTCAAATCTTGCAAAATATTTTGTAATAACTGACTTGCAAGCTGCACCCTTCATGCCATGAACACATGAAGCTGCCCTGTGCACAAGTTACATTGAATGTATATACGATGTATGCATGAGTTTTCTTGATATGGGCATTGGCCGATTTTCTTGTTACATGCAATGCATGTATAGCTGGACATGTCACATTTATCCAGGTATTGGTCTCTGGTTTAATTTAAAGTGAGTGTATTGTGGCTCTTACAGATGTGCACAAGTCCATGCAGGATGTGTTATGTGTGCAGTGTAACATGAACCGGGCTACTGAATCAGACCATTGGTCCATCAAGGTCAGTAACGTCCGACTGGCAGCTACTATCTATCTACTGTCTGATTCTTGAGCTGGAGAAGCTGGGGGTTAAACCTGGGACCTTCTGCATGCCAAACAGATCATGCCAAACTGAGTCATTGGCCCATAGGTACAATAGGGCCAGCAGTGGCAATGAAAGACAGCCCTACATACCTAAGAGGTGCTCTGATAACTTAGAGGGATCTTTAATAGTTCCATATTCTGGGGGGGTGGGGGGTGGTACAAGTCATATAATAGTCACAGGGTTCTGACAGTTAATGGGAATTGCAAATGTGGCTCTGCATGATCGGTGGAATGAATAACACTGATCTATGTGATGTCTTAATGGTGGTGAAGAGGCAGAAAATTAAAAGCATCCTGTTTGTGCCCTGCATGAAGCTGGATCATTTGGGAATGGTGAGCTATGAATACATGTCGGTCTGCATGTCTTGTTTATGGGTTACGTCATTTTCCCTGACCCAGCAGAAGCTCAGAAGAAGAAGAAAATCACACAATCCTTCAGTCATAAACCTGGTTTAAACTTTTGCAGCTCTACTATTTTTTTTTAAAGTTCTAATTAAGCAAAGGTAATCTGTACATGAAAGTAGACTTACAAATGTGGACAGGCAAAGGATGTGTTTGAATGTGTTGAAAGATGCCTGAAGGTTAATAATGGGCAGGTTGCATCTACTAAAGTACATCTGACAATCCTCAGTCAGGTCTGCCTACAGCCTTCACCAAAGCAAGATCAGTGCTGCCATTTGTCTAGCAGCATGGAGAGCCCTTCTGGTCTCTGCTCCTCTTCCTCCCCTGATAAATGGTGTAGCCAAAGTTAACCATGTCAGGTAACCGGCAGGGAGTGCAGAGGCCAGCAACGTGCAGACTTGGTAAGCAAATTAAATGGAAGTGAGAAGTCCTGTGCCTTTAGTATGCGTTCTATTGACAGCCACTTCCTTTAACTTAATGGTTCTGTTTTACTCTCCTGTAAAGTCTATGATATACTATTAATGCTGCTCAGCCTTCTTCTAGTGAGATAGAACTTGCTCTTTTAATCTCTGCTGTGTGCCTTGCCCCATGTTCGAGTTGATCTTCATTTTTCCCTGCTGCAGTGAGCATCAATATGCTGAGAGGCCATGGCTTACATTTGTTCATTACTGCAAAAAGACCTCTGACTCACCAAAGCTCCTGGAACCGAATCAAACTTGGGGTTGTCATCAGTGCACCCCCTGGAGGCAATACTTGTGTTAGGATTGTGTTTGTGTTCCAACTATTCTAACCGACTCTTGGAGAGTATGTTTAGTAAAAAAGAGAAGGCTGTAAGAAAAAACTGGACTAAACAAACCACAAGCAGCAAGGAAATATAGCCAACATTTATTTTTGCAATCTAAATTTAATGAAGTCATACTTCAATATGCCATTTTCATGGGCCAATGGCACTCCATTCAGTGTTTTTAAATAGACCTTTAAAATACCATTGAATTCATATAACTATCGGTTCACTGAAATATGCATTTTGAACCCTTGTTTGGAGGTTGGGGGAGGGGGATCAATGACAATTCGTAGGTTTAGATTCCTCACTTGAAGCTGATGAACCTTAGCTGACAGGCAGTTGCTACAAGAGGGCTCATTTGAGTCGGCTGGAGCTTGGGAAATTCAGTTGAAACCCAGCTGCATAAAAACTGAGCCAGGTAATTGACATCTGCCCAGAGAAGATGGGTTAAAATATGCCAGCAATGCATAATAGGAAGGGAATCGGGTTACTGGGGTTGAAGTTATTCTATGTTGAGATCCTGACGATTACCACTACTTGCGTACATAGTGTGTTTAGGACACATCTTGAACCAAGGTCCTGCAGCGTAGCTGCTTACAACTGATGTTGATGGGGAGCCACTCCACACAATGTGGAAGTGCCAAGTGTACTACTTGAGTAGATATCAAAGTGTGGGAACATGTGAGCATGTGCATGCACTGGCAGCCTCTCCTGCTTCTTTGAAAGATACAAAGGTATATATGCATGCGGTTTCTAGGTTAGAATATTATGCTTCTCCCTGGCAATCCTTTGCATATGCAATTTGTCTTCTGAATGTTCTGCAGCCATGTGGACTAGTAACAAGATGATATGCTTCTAGAATGAGCCAGGCTGTGCCGAAGTGCCATATATTTATCTGGGAGGAAGTATCTGACAGCTGCATATGTATGCTGAACCCTAAATCAAACACACACTCAGCGAGAAGCAGCTACATCCACTTTACCAGCACTATTCAGAAAAATCACACTCTGAAATAAGTTTTCTGCTGCTCTTAAAAACCGAGCCCAAAAGAGAGAGAAAGCTGCCTTCCACAATGGCACCTTGGCCTGCCCCCAAAGCAGGAGAAGTTGCTGCATTCTTCATTATTCATTCCCAGCTCTTGTCGCCCTGACTTCCATCTGTTCCAGGGCCAAACTGAAGTCTTGCTTGCATCATCAGTCAGGCAAGGAAGATGAATCTGGGGAGAGATGAGGTAGGAGGCGTAGCAGTGGTGGCCACCTCTCTGACTGCCTATAACCTATTAAAAGGAAAGGTGCAGTCTCCAGATTGCAGGCTGGCAACCTCGAGCACAGCGCACACAGAAGCGGATTCTTCCAGAGAATGAGCAAAACCAATCGATAACACCCAAAAGTGGATAAAATTTAAAACTTTGGTATTCCGATTGTACCACCCAACTTCTCTTGTCATTCCCTTCGAGAAGAGAAGTTGTATTGGAGTCTGGATTCTTCTAGTGTTTTCAAAACTGCATCCTTCCATGCTCTTGAAAAGGCCAGGTTAGGAGGAGATAGCTAATGGCCAAGTGTAGTTGTAAGCAGTGTTCCCTCTAAGTTGAGTTAGTGTGAGCTAGCTCACAGTTTTTTAGCTTCCAGCTCACACATTTTTGTCTTAGCTCAGGAAGGATGGCTCCAGAGCAAACTAATTTATGCAGTAGCCAAACCGCTCGCTCACAACTTTAATATCAATAACTCATAAAGCAGAATTTTTGCTTACAAGACTCCACAGCTTAGAGGGAGCATTGGTTGTAAGGGGTGAAGGTGGGGTATAAATCCAATCTCTTCTTCTTTGGCTTTCTCTGAAACACTAATTGAAGCAAAACTTGCTGCTTTGGATCCAACATCACTACTTGACAGAAGTAGTTTTCAGCTTCCCCCTTCCTCAACAGTCTCCTGCACTCCTAAATGATGGTGAATGAAGGTCAGGACACTGGGCCACTTCTAGTGGTATGGAGGGCTGCCACAAGGAAAGCCACAAAGTGGCCTTTCCTCCCGCTTCTGTGAACCTAACCTCCTTTCACATAGCAGTATGCCATTTATGGGAGGTGGAGGGAGATTCTGGCAATGTAGAACCGTGTCTTGAACTTTGTAAAGCTAATTAAAGAAATGTTTTAGTGGCTAGTACTAGCATGCATTCCTCAGGTGTTAGGTCCATGTCTTCCAGTTCCTTTCCTTTTTGGTCAGCATAGCAGCAGCAGCAGCAGCATTTGGCATTTACCCTTCAGTCAGAATCTGTGAGCTACTATTTCTCTTTTTTTAAAAAAACCCTATGTTGTATTTTCCTTCTGAAATCTTTTGGCTTGGGATTTTTGGAAGGACTTTCAATCCATGAAGCATGACTTCTTTCCTCTTTCCCACTGCAGCCGCATGTGCCCTTCCACACAATGTTGCCCCT